TGCTTGTTAGTGTTGCACCAGGTAGTATTAGTGCTTTCGAGTATCTAGATGGTATAAAAACCTTTTTAAACCATATCACATAGTTGTAAAGGGCCGCGGAATCTAAACGGCCCGTATTCTGAGAATCACCCAGCAATACGATGTTTCCGAACATTGATTTATCCTTATCATTGACCGATGATATCAATATGTGTCGGGCCATTCAAAACTTTTCATGGGGAGGGAACGGACTGTCCTAAGGTTCATTTTAAGCCAGGTTACGGGAATTTTCTCAGACCACGTATTTTTGCTATTCAATTTTAAGTAGTTTTTAAGTTACTTTTCCCTAGCTTTAGGTACTTAATTTTTTTTTAATCCACCCATACTATAGCTCATTTGAATCAGCATCAAAAACTGAATCAGAGTTACTGGTGGCCTGGAATATACCTCTTTATTTGTAGATTTTAGAGCTTCTAATCAAACAGCATGTATTTGAAACAAGTCCAAAAACACAATTGTTGCCAAATCTACAGGGAATTTTTCCCAGCCAAATCCTCTCGGTTCTGGGGTCTCTAGGTGATACTAAGTGAAAAAATATACTCACCCGAATTTTTTTGAAAAGTAGCATTCTGAGGGTTTTGTTGAATTGAGGAAGAATGACCCTCGAATATTTTGATGTCATTTTGATCAATACGAGACTTTTCTCACGGTAAAACGTCACATGCGATCAAGTTTGCGAATCCAGACAACGCAGGGCAATCGCGATGCTTATAGTTTCTAGTTTCGTCACAATGATCTCGACAGTATATAACTTAGCTGTTGAACCGTTTTGCTGAAGAGCCGGCGCCGGCATGTCTTCGAACAAGTGGTTAATAGGTTATTCAAGATAGGCACTCGGGTAGGAAAAGGATCCATTGTAGGTTCAAGGCTGAGGCTTCCTCGTACACAGCTTTTTATCATGGTTTCATAAAACGACGACGTAAAGGTCCAAGGTATTAAAAAGCGTAATCTGGGCCCATGACCTGTTAAAATATGGGTCATTAGTTTGGATATTAAGGAGCAAATAATAGAACCGTATTCGAAGGAGATCTGTTGTCAAGTGGCTTATTAAGGTAGAGACACAACAAGAGGTAAACAGTAAGAACAAAAGGATCGATGGTAGTGCCAACCTGGGGATGTAAAACATTATCGAAGTAATAAATTCTAACAATCTATAGGAGACCAAGACGACATTTAGCCATTAATATGCAAAAAATGAATTTGAAAACCTAAAATTGCCCTAAGCAGGACCAGTTTAAAACGCACGGCGACGATTGTGTTGCAGGGTCCGTACAATCTAATCCTGGAAAAGGTCTACTCATGTGGACAAATCGAACAAGGGGGTGTCTTCATTGACGGTTTTCGTACTACTCACTTTAATCCCCAGAAGCCAAACGAAAACCAAACTGTTTCGTGTAGAATAATCATCAAAGAACGTATAGACGACTCATGGTGGGTACGTAGATTTTATTATGCCTTTTCGTTAAAAATAAGTCACCTACTGAAGTTGCCAACCAAAAAGACTACTTTAATAATGTGCTTTGTGTGTAGGTGACTGCCTTTGCCGACAAATGGTCCAACAACCAGTGGAAGAAGAACTACTTTGTTTTTCACTTCCCAATCGCAGCCTGTACCAGCATGCGAACCAACGCACCGGGGTCATTCCAACTTTTGTTCAAACCAGAAAGTATGACAGGCGAATGCTTCATCTCTGCTGTAAGTTTCTTGCAGAATGCCTGGCACGAACTGACTGTGTTTAAGGCCATGACTTAGTTGTGACTTAGTTCCGGTATCTGAGAAGGGGGTAGGGTAAGGTAGGGGAAAAATTAGACATTTCAAGAACGAGACAGCGCCACTTAATTTTTTAGTCTCACTTCCACCGAGGCGAAAAATCACTCCAGATCAAAGTGCACGAGTTAGTACGTTAGTCGAGGGGGAAACGACTGTTAAAATTTGTGTCAGACGGATTACCCGGATTACCTCCGGAGTATCCTCCGGATTACGTTGCTTTTTCTCTAGGATTACCCCGGATTACCCCAAAATTTTCCTTGATTACCCCAAAATTTCCCCGGATTACCCAGTTTTTTTTAGAATTTGCTCGGATTACCCCTGCCGGATTACCTAACGGCTGTCAGCCGGATTACCGTAGTGGTTTCCCCCTCGACGTTAGTACACGTTAGTAGAACATACTTTTTGCGTAGTTATTCATCATTTATGCTAAATAATGTTATTAAGTCACTATTACGCTTGATTTCTACCATAAGTACGCAATATTAGTGTTAGTACGAGTTAGTAGGGTAAGGGGCCCCTAGGGTAAGCGCGCAGATCACGCTTGGCGTAGTGCGCTCGAGCGTGCTCGTCCCGCGGTGGGGGATGGCGAGGAAGAGAGGGGTTCCCCAGGTCCTCCAGCAGGAGGTTGCTGCTGCCCTCAGCCCGAGGAGCGCGCTCCCGTGCACGTGGCCCCCACACTTGTGGTAGCGGGCGTCAGGCGTTGGCTTAACCTTATATAGCTGATGCCAGGGAAAGTATTATGAATTAATATTTTAACTCTAAAATTCGACATTCAAATCCAGACTACCACGTAATGTAACGCCACCGTGCAGCTGACAGCAGACGAGCGGATCTAGAAGCCACGAGGCTGAGATTCGACCCGCACTACCCTTAGCCTCTCGTTTCCGGCGCCCGGCACTTCGCTTCTCTGAAATACCATATTCAAATTGATAGAGAATTTCGGGTAAGCGAAGCAGCGCAACAGAAACGGCCAAGCGGCTGCTGGATCCTTCTCAGCCTGCGAACTGCGCATGCACATTGGACTCTGCGCCGCCTCGCCACCTCCCTCTTTTTCCCGAGCATCAGCGGCAGAGATGCAACCAACCGTGGACTTGGACACGCAGTTCCGTTAAGACAAAATTTCTGTGAAATAATCACTTTTTTGACAAAAAATAAGAAAAATGAGATTATTTCGCAGATAGTTATTTTCGAAATGCGATGGAGGTGCTGTCAAGTGGCATGTCGTTTGACTCGTTTTTTAGCGTAGATCGCGATTTTTACTGCACTTTTCATCTAAAAATAATCTTTTGGGGTCCAGGTCCGATTTTTAGCCCGCCCTTCTGCTTTGAAAAAGCTATCCAGCGGGCTTATGCAAACGACCTCGTGTGTGTCTGTCTGTCTGTCTGTTCCACAAGAAGGAGATGTGCTAGAGACTTCAAATTTTCAGGGGATCTCAAGGTTCACTCCCACAAAACAAAACGCCTACGGCAAA